GTTTGCTTTCTGTTTTTACCAAACTTCTCATGGTTAGATTTCAGATTACCGCTTCCCCAACACTCAATTTATTTGCAATATAAAATATATAAAATATAAAAGCTTATATTTCTGTTGATGGAAAACTAAAATCTGGATTTACAACTGAAAGCAAGTGATGTAATGCCTTCTGCCAGGTCAGGTTTTGGAACCATGAGACGCCCTCTGCATTCACTTCATATTTACATGGAAGCTCCTGTTAGAGGCCCTCTGGTATAAAAGACCTCACCTCATAACTCCTGATTACAAATGTATTTGTAAAACAAGGCGTTGTTGTCCAGACTGTCTACTATAATGAATATTCACACACATATACATACATGATTTCAGCATTTGACTTAAGTATGAATTATGCTGTGGGTCATACATCTCCATTGTATAATACAGCCTGTGACTAAGGCCGTAATTCCCCTGAATTAAAATGGAAAATGTATTTTATTTGAAATTACAAAATATTTAGATTTGGTACACAGAATATAATGTAAGCAATTTTTAGTAGTATGCAATTTCATAGTAATTTTGAAGAAAAACAAACTATTTTTCCCCATTTTACATCATAAAATATAAAAATGCAGTTTCATGTTCCTGATTTAAAGCACCCTCCACAGCTGACCCCTGTGTGGCATTCAAGTATCACTGATCTCAGCTGAGTGTCTCACGCTTCATTGGTGAAACTTGAAGCAGCAATCAGCCTTCGTGTTAGTGTTATACTGAATTTACAAAGCAGGCATTTAAGAATGAGATTAGCGAATAATGTTGGGTTGAAAATTATTTTCTTATGATTTAATGAAAATGTAAAAAATATATCATACCATCATGCTGAAAGGAATAGACAGAGCCATATGTATGCTGTTCATACAGGTCAGTGATGATGCAATACATATATGTATTTATTTATTTCTATTTAACACCTTTTATAATCTTGCACCCGGGTTTTTAAACAACTTTTTATCCTAACTTTTGATTTTCTTTTCATTTTTATCATACTTCCGTCAATTTTGTGTAATGGAATCGAATGCCTTTGTACAACACTAAAAAGCGTTGAATAGGAAAAAAAATGTAATACTTCCACTTTGTTGTGGTTTTAACTCCACTTCCTTTATCTGATATCCTATATTACACTACAGATTTCAATTTTTTTCTTCTTTTTGTTCGCTCATCCAGCCAAAGGATCGATGAGCTGATGTCATGGCGAGGCATCAACTGTCCACAAATCTGTCCGCCCACAATTGACAAGAACTAGGTGTGTCACGAAGTGTAACAGTTTAAAGTTCTTAAATCCATGACACATACCACAATGTGGTTTTTTGTGCATATTTCCAGCCTGTACATGCTATGCAGGGTAAGAAATATGGACACTGTAGCTCATAAAGCATTTATATTATGACGGAAACATTAAATATGCTAAAGCAAAAACAGCTGATTAGCAAGGCGTCCAGTTGAATCCACTGATTTATTTACTATGTAAAGATCCAGGTGGTCAGCTTACATTTGTGAGCTAATATTTGGAATAATTCAAAAAGAGCATTTTACATTCTGGCATTGATTCATAAGTTTTGTGTAACAGGCAGGACTTTTCTCATCGCTGCTTCTGCCTCTTGGTGTTAATGTCTTTCTCAGTGTGTTTGCATGTAACGCGAACATGTCTGAATACCTTTTGCCAAATGCCACTTTAACGACTGCCAATCTGACTCATTTATCGCCAAAGGCAAACGCCCTGGAAAAGTATCAAACCCTTTTGGGAGTGTGCATCATAAAAATATGAACCCCCGAGGTCAATGCTGAGTTGCTAGTTTGAATCCCAGCACCAGCTGAGTGCGACCCTCTGCGTGAGAGTCACAGCTGTCTGTGATTGTAGAAGGTGATAACCGAGCGCAATGCGTGAGCCACCATGCAACCGTCTGAACCTGACACTCCAGCCATGTGGTGTGGAGGAAGTGATAAGGTACACAGATTTAAGAGAAGCACCTATGTAAACATGTAAGAGACTCATTCGCATTATGTGCAACTTGGCCCAAACGACACGATCCCTGAAGACTGGCACTCACCGACGGACGTTTCCATTCAATCTTCATTGAAGGTTTCCTACTGTAGAAAAGTGAGGAGTCATCTGCAGGGAACAGAGGGTCTTCAAACATAACATTCTTCTCCACATATTTGTCTCGCAGCTCCAGAAAGGTCTTAAGACGCTTGGCATCTTTGACAGCTTCATTCCTGCTGAGAATTGCTGAGTAGATGGAGTTTGACCCTGCATTTGGGTACTCAGCTTTGGTATCCAGCTGGAGAGATGTCTCAGTTTCATAAAGCACTTTCACCTTTGTTTCTTCAACGAGAAGCACTTTGCCGTCTTGTTTCTCATCTCCCATCTTGTTAGTGAACTCCTTGGCCTTTCCTCGGCTCTCTCAAGTGCAAAACGGGAACTCTGTTGCACAAGAAGCTTCGAAATAGCCCCAAAAATGTTCTTGTAACCTCCCTGATTCCAGTGCTCACTTTTAGTTCCTTTATTTAATAAAAAGTGCTGTCATGGGTCATGGGCAGCCACCAGTCTTGCTCTCACACCAGCACTCACTGTTGTGTCCCTGGAGCTCATTGAACCTAATTATAGACCTTTTAAAAGAGGGGCGGGGGCTTCTCAGAGGGAAACTCTGACCCTGTCCTAACATTTCCAAGTCACAGTGAGAGGTTAAAAAGGGTGGTCCATATTCTAAAAGAGCTTAATCAATTTTTTTTTTAACTTTTGACAAGAAAATCTGCAATGTGGGTCAAGATGAGACTAGAAAATAAGCTGCTACTATAGTCCTCATGCCACTTCCTAAAAAATATTAATTGAATTGTTGGTTAGTCCTTTTTATAATGTACAGCTTGATAATTACTACTTTCATACAACAGTCAAAGATACACTCACTGGCCAATTTGTTAGGTACGCCTTGCAAGTACCTGGTTGGACCCTCTTTTGCCATCAGAGCTGCATTAATTCTTCATGGCATAGATGAGACATGGTGCTGGAAACATTCCTCAGAGACTTTAGTCCATATTTACATGATAACATCACACAGTTGCAATGTGAGGAGAGATGTGAATCTCCTCTTCCACCACATCCCAAAGGTGCTATATTGCATTGAGATCTGGTGACTGTGGAGGCTATTATAGTGCAGTGAACTTATTGTCATGTTCAAGAAAACAGTTTGAGATCATTTGAGCTTTGTGACATGATGAGTTATCCTCCCGGAAGTAGCCAGGTAGATGGGAACACTGTCACCATAAAGGGGGGGGACGTGGTCAGTAACAATACTAAGGTAGGCTGTGGTGTTGAAATGATGCTCAGTGGGTGCTACATTGTTTTTCCAGTCTTCTATTGTCCAATTTTGGTGAACGTGAACAAATCTGATCTGCTTCAACGTTGTATGTTTTGTGTTCTTCAATGATGTTCTTCTCTATATCTTGGATGCAGTGACTGGTTATTTGTGGTTATCTGACACCTCAAAGCGCTCTGGGAATACTCTTTCTGACCTCTGACATCAATGAGGCATTTTTACCCAAAAAACGTTGCTCACTGGATATTTTCTCTTTTCCAGACCATTCTTTGTAAACGACAGCGATCACACCAACAACCAGGCCACAATCAGAGTCACTTAAATCATTTCCCATTCTGATGCTGAGTTTGAACTTCAGCAGGTCATTGTCAGCATGGTAAATCAGTTAGTTACACAGGTGTACCTAACAAAGTGGCCAGTGAGTGTAATTAAATTTACATACATCCAGCCAATGGGCAGTGAGGAAGAATTATTCTGGAATATTTCTGTGAATTTAGAGTTCACATTTTTTGTAACTTTATCTTACCTTGAAACCACAAAATATTAAAAATGCAGCATAATACTACACAAATATCTACATATCGACAGAAAAGGCTGTTATACTATCTATAAATAAATATTTAATGCAGACTCTACAATATTTTGGATTTAATACCTTTACACAAACCTAATTATGTACAACACAAAGTCAAAAGTCAGGAGGTAAACATTTTCAATTAAAAAACAAATTAAGTGGTGTGTTCTGCTTGAATTTGGACTCAATTTAAACCCAGTTTAATTCAACATTAGTCGTGTAGACTGAAAAGACACCTAGCGGTAAAACAAACGCAATAACACTGACTTCCTTGTGAATGGTTTTATTTGGCTGACAAAGACAACCATTCACCGGCATTCACTATTCAGTTGGCCTACATGTCTGTCAGTCAATGCCCATAACAAATACAAAAAGGAAGGCCGTTAAACACTGGTTGCCAGGTCTGAGAGAAACACGCTTTCCCCCCCAGTCCTTTAATAACGAAGCATTATGACATTCATGCCTTCTAAATCTTCTTCTTCATTTGTGGCTCCCTTTACATGAATAAATCAAACTGATTATGTTTAACTGTCTTAAAATTATCAGGTAAAATGATGGCCTACCAAATCAAATATTGCAAATTTGACTTATTTATCATTTTGACTTTTGGATACAAATACTTAACTTCTTGCTGGATATTTTCTGACCATTCTCTGTAAACCCCAGAGGTAGCTGATTTGGAAAATCCCAGCAGATCCTGAAAACACTCACTTAAACAGTCTCTTAAATCCCCTTCTCCCCATTCTGATGCTCAATTTTAACTTGATGATAATGATAAAGACTTATTGCTAATCAGCCCAAAAGCTGTACTGTACCAAGTGTGACACAAAAAAATTATGTTTAGGGGGAAATTCATTTTTCACACGTCCCGTTTTTGTTTTTCCTTTAGTAAATCATCACTTAAAAGACTATGTTTTCCCCATTTTTGTGTAATTTTGTCTGCTATTAAAATCAGCTTGATTTTTTAACAGTGAAGTGGGATAAATGTACAAGAAGAAGGCAACACCGTGTAAGTTACGTGGGAACGATCTGAACTCCCGAGAAGGGGGATTCAAAGCATTGTATCTGGCAACCCACAACGGCTTTGACGTGCCCGAGCTCGTAGTGCAGTGTGCATCTGGAAGTTGTCGCCATCATATCTGGCTAAATGTTAACCTAGCTCTCAAGTCAGTTAGCCACTGTGTTCGAGGATATAACGATAATGGTACGGTTAGCCTGCCCGTGCTTCCTGTGCTGAGCTCCTGTGATGGTCGTGATGCTTTAATCAACACTTAGGACTGTGGTGCTGTGACGTTTACTCGCACTACCAGCGGCTGTTGTCAGAGCTCACATTAGCAAGAGTCTTGAGAAGAGGTAAGGGGCGGAGGACTGCTCCGACTGACGAGGTCTAGCAAGTACAAACAGCGACAGACGTTTAATGTCAGAGTTAGTAAAGTAAAGGTTCTGGGTGTCTCGTAGACTCTTCGTTAGCTGTGTCTGCTGTCGTTGAAGTTCGCAACGTAGCTCCGCAAAGCTAGCTGCAACTCCGCCGAGAAACATTGAAGATTCGCAGCTGACAGAGCTAAACCTCCGGCCCGGATTGCTCTTCGGCGACGGGAGTCTGTTAAACTGGAGCTGGCATCGTCTCATCTCCCATCTATAACATGTATGTCCATGTGTTTGTGCTCATAGTTGTGACTTATTGTGGCCTTTCCCGTTGGAGCTAACTTCCTGTTGCAAAGTCTCCACGGTGACTCTTCACCTGCAGCTAGATTAGCCGGCTACAGCCACCACGTAGTTACATGTTGTTGCCTTGCTAGCTTTCTAATAACAGTCGTACAGCCCCAGCAGATGAGAAATGACATGTAGTGTGGCGTTTATATTCCGGTGGGTCATTTTGTGTGTCCTGCAGCGGGCTGCTGGGCCTCACAACCGGGAAGATGTCTGAGGGGGAGAGCAAGCAGGCCCCGGACACTGTCCAGGAAGTGAAGCCGGAGTCCGCGGCCGCTGCACCCACAGGTCAAGGTGTGTCATCCGTGTCTCCGCCGGTGTCCATGGTGACCCAGCCTCCTGCTACTGCTGCCACGGAGGATGAGGAAGAGGAGAGTGAGGATGAGTCAGAGATTTTGGAGGAGAGCCCCTGTGGACGCTGGCAGAAACGCAGAGAAGAGGTAGGGAGGGGGGGCAGTTTTTTTTTTTTTCTCCACAAACTTAACTTGGATAAACACCTGGTGCATTATTTATGTATTTATTTTTACTCCCCTAAAGGTGAATCAGCGCAATGTGCCTGGGATTGATAATGCTTACTTGGCCATGGACACAGAAGAAGGAGTCGAGGTGGTGTGGAATGAGGTCATGTTCTCGGAAAGAAAGAATTTCAAACTGCAAGAGGTGGGTGCAGAGCGAGGCCGGTGTGGTAAAATACAGCTAAAGCACAGGGTGACTGTGCATGTAACCACGATTGACCTATATGTAGTGATGGTGCAGGTCTCTGTCACCTTACTCGACAGAAGCCTGTGCATTTTTCTCCTTTCTGTACTGCTTTTTGGCAATCTCATAAACAAAACTGATATTTAAACTTGATTGATGGCCAAAACCTCTTTTGTATATGCAGGAAAAACCACAGTTATGGTCAGTTATATGATTGTTGGAACTAACAGCATACTTGGAAGCAACAAAACAGCCTAACAATGGTTTTAAGGCTTTTTTTTAATGGGATTTGTTGCTCTCTTTTCTGTAATACTGCTGCTTTTTTCCTCTTTGGTTTTAAGCTCCTTAGGCAAGTTGTTGGACTCATTGTGACCAGAACCCATAGCAGAGTTCACGCTGTACCCGTGTAGTTGCAGAAACAAATCAGAAATTTGGAAGGGAGGGAGTGTGTGGACTACAAGAACAGAACAGTACAATCTGATTCAAACTTGCTGTCTAAAAAGATTTCAGTGCTGGTTGATTTGGCGACACCTGGAGTCAGTGGTGGAAACAGCAATGACAGTTTTATGCTACAGGTCACAAAATTATGGGCAGCAAATCAAATTCTTGTTTAACTAAAAAAGTCAGAAAGAATTCGGACTTTGTCCATCGTGATATGAGGAGCTATGATTGATTGATTTGGTTACCTTTCTGGAAAAGTGAAGAAGTGCAGGCCGTCTTCTTCCAGCCTACTTTGGATTCTCCTTCCTGTTGTGCCAAAAAGTGATTTATGGTAATTCCCAAAAAAGGATTGTGGCAAAACTATCTCAAACATACCTCTCATGAGTGATATTAAGTCATTTTGAGCCACAAAGAGCATTGCTATTACAAGGTACATGCTGCAATCGTTTTTGGTTTTTTTTGGCAAAGTGACTGTTATATAAATGTCTTTTTCAAGAGACATTTGGCCGAGAGGGCAGTGGAAATTGTAACAAATATAACATCAAAGTTCTATAAAGATATTTTAAGGGCCAAAAAAGGAGTAGATTGATTATAATGTAGGTACAGCACGTTAGGATACTCACCAAACATGTCATTTCTTTATTTTATATCTAACTCCTTCATAAAATGCAGTTCAACATATTTGAAATCACATTTTAGCAGACAATCTCGCCTCTGCAATATTTGTCGCAATGATCCATCTGATTCAAAGCGTTTGTTTATGTTTTTTTAAAATACCTTGAGGAACAAGATTTTTAGATTCTCTCATTCTAATTTTGTCTCCAGGGGTGGATTTAGTCCAAGATAATTAACACTGTGGAATTTGCATATTAACCTTTTGGTTAATAGGCATACTGTCCAAACATGCTAAGAAGATTTGGATCTTAATATTGTTTAGACTCTGTTTGACTCTTTAACTTGTCTGCAGTAAAACAAGAACATATGGGATTTTTCATTTATGAGTAAAGTGTTTCATTTTTTTTCTTGTTTTTACCAAAGGAAAAAGTCAAAGCCGTGTTTGACAATTTGATCCAGCTGGAGCATTTGAACATTGTGAAGTTCCATAAGTACTGGGCAGATGTCAAAGAAAACAGAGCGAGGGTAGGAGTTTGTTTCATCGTTTTATTCTTTGATCATTTCATCAAATGATATAAACACAGGCACAATGGCCTGGATTCTTATTTGAATTCAACATTGTCTTTTGTCTGCAGGTTATTTTCATCACTGAATACATGTCCTCAGGAAGCCTCAAACAGTTTTTGAAGAAGACAAAAAAGAACCACAAGACAATGAATGAAAAGGTGGGTGGATTTTGAAATGTTGATACATTTGAGAGATCAAACACAGTTAATTAAAAATCATGTTTAAAGATATTAACTTCTCTGTTTGTTGTTCTTATCTGACAGGCCTGGAAGCGCTGGTGCACACAGATCCTCTCTGCTCTCAGGTTGGTGTTCTCTGTCACAGTATTTGTGTGGTGTGGCACTGACATGATTCACTGCTACACTAATATGAGATACATTTATTACAGCTTTATTAGGTTAGCTATGGTACAAAGGTCCTGGTTTTTATTTTTGACCACTGTTTGCTATTCTCCAGTTACCTGCACTCATGTGAACCTCCCATCATTCATGGCAACCTCACCTGTGACACCATCTTCATCCAGCACAATGGCCTCATCAAAATTGGCTCAGGTGGGTTCCACGGATCGTTTAAAGCAGTTTGGTTTGGTTTCTGTGTTGAAGATGTTCACTGTTATTTTCTTTTTTTCTTCAGTTGCTCCTGACACTATCAATAACCATGTGAAAACCTGCCGAGAAGAGCAGAAGAGCCTTCACTTTTTTGCTCCAGAATATGGAGGTGAGGTCCTCTGGGTGTATCGTTTTATGCTGCTGAGGTGTGCAGTTGTGTTTCTGTGATACTGATTAGGCTTCCGTCTGCTTTCAGCTGTTGCCAATGTTACCACAGCTGTGGATATCTATTCCTTTGGAATGTGCGCCTTAGAGGTGAGGCGATGCCTTTTTCTGCTCCTAGCTGTTAGTCACCTGCTCTGTTGTTACTGTGGTAATATGAGCGCAGTTTGCCTGAAGACCAAAAGCAGTGAATGCTCAACCTGTTATTTCTGTCTTAAAAATCCTTCTTTTGTACCATAACAGCGACTGTTGTTGACTGAAGGCTCCTGTTTATTTCATGAATCTCTCCTTTGTCCATTCACTTGCTCAGATGGCTGTGTTGGAAATCCAAAGTAACGGAGATTCGTCCTATGTGTCCCAAGAAGCCATAAACAGTGCCATTCAGTCCTTAGAGGACCCGCTGCAACGGGTGAGCGAGGAGCAAGCAAGCATCTAAAGTTCTCGTGGCTGTTTGGAAGAGAGATTTATAACCTGCGTGTGTTTCAGGAGTTTATCCAGAAGTGTCTGGAGGTCGACCCCAGTAAGCGACCCACAGCCAAGGAGCTGCTGTTTCACCAGGCCTTGTTTGAGGTGCCCTTACTGAAGCTGCTGGCTGCACACTGCATTGTCAGCCACCAGCGTGAGTCAAAGCACGCGCACACACACACACACACACACACACACACACACACACACACACACACACACACACACACACACACACACACACACACACACACACACACATACGGACGGACGGATGGAAAATCTGATCCTTTATAAACACATACTTTCACTTTAATAATGCACTTGATTCCCTGTTCTTCAAGCTTGCTGTTTTGGCAGCATCGACTGGGCATTCTGCTCAGCAGAGCCCCAATAAAACACTAACACACCTACCAAATATCTATACTTAGACTTTATTGCAGTAACATAAGCAGTTTGAAATAATGTCCGCAGCTTTTAAAGGACAAATAGTCAATATTTTTTAAAACCATAAATAAGTGAGATGGAACAGGTTAGCAGTTACAGTCATTATGACTCTTCCATCGTATGCCAAAATACTTTGTTATGCAATCTGCAGGCACAAAGACTTGAAGACTTAAGCACAGTCACACAAATTGCCTGTAATGTTGTTCTTATTTTGGAAAACTAACTATCATTGATCGGTGTTTTTCTTTAATAGTGATCTTCTCTGTTTACCTCAGACATGATTCCTGAAAATGCTTTAGAAGAGATGACAAAGAACATGGACCCTAACCTGGTTATCGTTGAGGGCAAAGAGGGGATTCAGATGAAGTAAGTCTGAGTGTAAATGTAGGAAATGTAAATTGTGGAGATTTGATGATTTCTGTGATTTGATCATCTTTAGTTTATCATCATTGCCTTTCATTAAGTCCTACTATGTCTAAAGTTTTCTGACTGTTTAATTACTGGAGTGGAAATAATAGTCTTTCTTTTGCTCCAGGCTTTCCCAGTTTCCTGCTCTTGAGCTGGACAAATTTCTGGAAGATGTAAGGTAAGAGAACAGCTGGAAATGCAAATGCAGTTTTTAACACATTTGCAGTTGGTTATAAATTTTCTCACTTTAAAGCTTGGATCAGTTGGCAAAATCGGCTAAGGAAAGTGAAATGAGAGTTGTTTCCGCTGCACTGAAATCAAAAACAGGAAGCTGTGGTTGTGTTTGTTGTGTGTTCAGTAAAAGCTTTTTTGGATGCATTGAGCAATGTGCAACTGCCACATTTTAACTAAAGCTGTGGTGGCTTACATTTGACGTTGATTTAACAGGAATGGAATCTACCCTCTGACTGCATTTGGGGTCCCCTGTCCTCAGCAACCCCAGCAGGAGGCTGTGAAGTCACCCATAGTTCCCCCATCGGTCAAAACCCCGACCCCTGAACCCGCAGAGCTTGAGACAAGGAAGGTAAGAGCAGAAAGCACTACTCTACATAGATTTTAATACCATAAAAATAAAATGATAATGCACGGCTGTTGTCTTTATCAGCATTTTCCTTTATAAATAATAATAATAAAAACTTGAAATCATTTTAATCCCAACCTGTCAATGCATTAAACAGTTTTCCTTTTGGTCCTTGAAGGTCCTTCAGATGCAGTGTAATATTGAGCCTGTTGACGAGGGCACGAAACATCACGTAAGTCACAGCTCTGCCAACCTGCTGAGTGATGAAGTAACGACATCTGTACTACATGTGAACGTGCTTTGTTAGAACTCTGAATGGACTGCTTTCATTCTACTTTCAGCTGACCTTGCTGTTGAAACTTGAGGACAAACTGAACAGGCACTTGAGCTGTGATTTGTTACCAAGTGAGTGTCTTGTTTTGAGAATAATATTTCACCATGCTTTCATTTTTGCATGCCTTTCACAAGTGAGAAAATGGTTTTAAATGCTTTTTCAAGGGAGCACAGGTTTGCTGTAGAGGTTTAACTCAAAGCAGAGAACTTAAAGATATACTAATGATACTACGATTTAGAAACCCCCTCCCCCCCAAAAAATACTTAAATACACACTATCTCAAAGAATATTGCTACGATCTGCTGCTGATATTTGTTGCATTGCTACCCTTACATTGCACTCATAAGCAGTGCTGGGTAATGTTGCTTTTAAAAGTAACTTTATACGTCACACTATTAAAAGTCATCCGATATGTTACAGTGTTGCCCACTAAAAATAAACACCCCTTTTCAGTTAGCTTGCGCAAGTTGGTTATGTTGTCCAGTCTGTTCGGCCTGCTCTGCATTCACTTCTTAGTGTGGGCCGTGGCCCCCTTGTGGGCTTTGTAGGTAGTGCAGGTGGACTATTTTAAGCTGCACATAGGTACCTCTTAAGCGATGAAATGCTTATTTGAAAAAGTAACTAAATATCTAATTTGAGTGCTGTAACCTGTGACTTTGGCACTGATCATTTCTCAGGTGATGCAACTGTTACAAACGATAGGACAGGACAAAGTAGGCATCTAAATGCTTTGTAACCCTATCACTATTTAAATATTGTGTTTTTGTTCAGATGAGAACGTGCAGGAGCTAGCTGTGGAGCTCGTTCAGCTGGGGTTTATCAGTGAGGTGAGGTTTTATCCGTGAAGTTACCACATACTGCTATCAGAGAACAATTAGAAAGATTACTTTGAGCTCACTGCCTTTTCATTTCAGGGCGATCAGCCTCGACTCGCATCTGTTCTCGAAGAGGCCTTCTCTAAGTTTTACAGCCGGAATGGTTCGCTCAATCCGGTGACTGTTTCCTCATAGCCGAGGAGTCGCCAGGCCTTCTTTCAGCCTTCCTCATCCATTTACAGCGGGACTAGCTTTTGCTTCACCTCCGAGTTGCAGGAAAGCCTTTGCGAGGACAGAGGAGGAAGCCTTGGTCTGACTGCAGATCCCACAGCCTGTTCTTGTATCTTCTAGTGGGAAAAGCTGCCACTAAGTGGTTGTTGCTTTAGATCACTTTGTTTTCCCACCAAATACAGCCATCTGCTTCTCTATTAAGAGGAAATCCTAGTTGCAATGGAAAATACAAATGTTTTCACAGTTTGGCCTATTTCTTTCAGTTCTGAAGTAGTGAAGAAATGTTAGAGGTAAGCAAGAAAATAAAAAAGGGGGTGGTAAAAGTATTTTCCTTAAGTCAGTGTTAAAATTGTATTTTAAACATTTTTTCACTTTACACTGTTTAATAGTTGTCTGTATGGAAAAACTTTGTCTTGTGTGTGAGTGTGTGTGTGTGTGTGTGTGAGAGAGATGGTAATGTAGGGTTAAATCTGGTTGTCTGGTCCTTTAAACTGTGTCCTGAGCAGTGAGTGAGGAATCATCGTATCTTGTATCACTTCTGGAAGGCTGAATCGCATCAAGCGAGTATCAGTTTTACTTTACAGATCTGAAATTGTGCAACATATTCATGAAATGCAGCTGAAAAACAATCGAAAGAGCTACAGATAAAAAAATATTCAAAAGATCAAACTATTTATTTGTGTTACATCTTTTTCTCAGTGTGTATTGTACTTCAATTCCAGCACTAAGGCCGGTGGGTGTTTGAATGTATGCTTTTACTTGCCCTTTTTCTTTAAAATCACACACTTATTTATCACAACAAAAAGGTGGCACCGCTTCACTGCGGTCCAGCTACTATAAAGTAGGGAATTGCAGCACTTATGAGTCGGGGTTAGGTTAATGAAAAGTCTATAGGTGACATTTTACAAACAGGGTGTTTGTTCGCTCCATGTGGGCTTCCTCTAGTGTTTTAAGCATGTGATGGATGATCATCATTGAGGTTGGTGAATGCATGTATGCTTTTCCATGCCTAAATGGAAACCGATGCATGCGGTAGACTTGCTTCTGGAGTTTGTTTAGGTTTTTTTTTTGGTTTTTTTTAAGATTTACTCTGATAATGTACCATGTAGAGACTTGTGTCAGCTTAGGCCTATCAACCTTTAGCTCGAGTAGCTCTGACATAGGTTTCCTTCATGGATACCGGAGCTAAAATCTTTTGAGAAGTTCAGCTAATTGGCTCAGACCGCTCTTTATCTGTTAAGTGTCTGGGGATCTCTCTGCTAGTTTGCACATTTCTGTATCCTGTTGGGAGATGTCCTGTGGCTTGTTTCTCATGTACACCAACCGGAAGTTAAGATTTAGAGATTGAAATTCAGTCGGTGATCCAGTCTCGGTGTCTCCATGCTGTGACAGGGCCTGTTACTGTGAGAGACGAGTGTGGCGCTGCCTGGCATGCTTGTAAACATCTTGTGCACTGTATGCTGGACACTGCTCTGTCTCTGCATTACCCTCTTTTTTCACTTCCTGAAATAAAAAAAATTACACTGTCAGCACTTAATGATATTGTTGTGTGGCATCTTCTTTTTATCAATAACAAACAGATCAACTAATAAGCAAATAATAGAAAAATCATCATTCTTATTTGTGCTCAGACCAGAGTTAAAGTTATCTGCCTTGGTCTTTCCATGGGGACTCAACAGTGCTTCCTACCCAACCTCCTTAAAATCTGGTTTATTTGCATAATTTTGGCATATCTCATGAAGTCCTATCACACTATTCCAAGTTACAGGCCCTTGAAGTATATGATAGATGGATGGAATGTAATACTTTATAAATCGCCTTGGTTTTTTTCTGCATTTTTGAACTCTCATTACTTCTACATTCCCAGAGAACTAAAAATCAGCTCTGTTTAAAAACTCCCACTGAATCAATTTTACAACCACTCCAAGGGTCACAATCTCCAGTCCAGTAGGGGTTTTTTTTGCTTGTCTTTTTAAAAAGATTTTTATTCTGTGATCAACTTTAAGCATGTACACAACAGAGATGATGTAAATGATAATAATAATAATAATAATTAAAAAAAAAAAAAACCCTCACCGAAAGCTGTTTCCCCGTCCTTCCCAGGCCTTTACTGCAGCCACCTTCGGTTGCTGCTTGTTTGTGCGTCTCTGCTTGTCAGGTTTGTCTCCAGCAGTGTAGAGACGCGTTATTAAGTAACTACAGTAACTACGTTATTATTGTGGTAACGAGCACGATAACTAGTTATTATGCCAAAATCAATAACGCGTTTATCGTTACTGGGATATAGGGTCGTTATTCGTGTGTTGCGTTCGTTTTACCTCGGAAATCGGAATACGAACCTGGGAATGATGTCACACTCGAGTAAACGGCGTTCTGGTTAGTCTCGTCAGAGAAGCCGGGATTTCAATATGGCGACGCCTTCGAAAACGGTTGTTTTTCTAGCCCTCTACAAAAACAAATTACTACTAAACATATTCAGCTCATCTGCAGTCTGGATTTACCTACATCTTCCTAGTCGGAAGGCAGAATTTCCGAGTTCAGAGCACAATCGAAAGCACCACGACTGCAGTTTCCGTGTTGGACGTAAAAAGCGCACGTGACGCTATGACGTAGGCTAGAATCTTAGACCACTGAAGCACTTAATCTACCATCATATTTTACTTATCTACATGGCCCGACTGGAGGAAATATTATTTTGGTTAAATACTGACTATTTGTGAGGCTGAAAATCCTTTTAAGTTTGCCCGTCAGTACTGAACTGACGGGCAAACTTGCACAGTTGATGCAGTTCAGCTGTTTTCAGTTAAGTTTACAAAGAATGGACAAACTGTGTGACTAACTGTGTTTATGTTGAACCATTTTTGCACTATTTTGATACTTACAGCTCGTAAATGGTCTGAGGCATAGTTTAATGTTGGCACTGCTAAAAGTATACTTTCTACCCATTTCAATGGCAAAAATAAATATACCTTTCAAAAGTTTCAACACACTGTATGTCGTGTTTTGCGATCCACTGCTGCTTCCTAGTGATACTACGTACGATGATAGTACTGCTGCATCAACCCCAAAATGATGTGTTTGCATTTATAGACGTTTGAAACAATAGAAATGGATTAAAAGAGAACGATAAAAAGTGACACATAAAACAAACATTGTTCATTTCTAATTTAGTTTCATTCCTTTCATCATTAACTTGCACTCACACTACTACACTGCCATTTTAGGTTCAGGCCATTGGGTGGCACAGTGCACTTGTGGCAGGATAGTGCTAACATGTAAGCAAGCTGGCATCCTTGCTGGGTATTCAGTTAGTCGAGCAACACATTAATAAGAGAATTCTGAGTAAAACCAAAGTTACTTTCCCTAGTAACTAGTTACTCTGAAAGTAACGAGTAAGTAACCGAGTTCAAAATGTCTTCAAACCCATGCCCCAAAGGCACTCTGTAACTTAGTTCAGCATGAATCTACAGATCAGAAAAGGAGATCATCTTAAATAATCTCAGTGTCTCTTGTTGATCTGTTGTGAGGCCAAAATGTTTATGAAGATGATCTTTATTAGCCATTACACTAAAGTTTTCAGAAAGCACTTCCATTTGCAGAAGAAGTCAATTTTGCTCGTTTTACCTTCAAAGTCAGAAAATGACACCATAAATGGCTCCTGAGTGAAGGAACATGCACATGTCTGCACAAATTAGACTCATTTGATAACTCAAATAATTTATACAAAACGGGGTCCTGGTGTATCAGGAGTGTGATCTCCAGCCTCAGAGCATCATCGTTTGAATTAACAATTGTTCGTCCAAAAACGTTAAGAAACTGTAGCCCTTGTACAAGTACATCCAGGTACATAAAGTCACAATGTGTGCTCAAATAACGGTTGAATAAAACACATTTCATGCTGACAAACACAGTGCCGTACAAAATGACAGCAGTATAAGAAGAACAGCAAGACTAAAAAATATTTTTGATATAAAACACCCTAGAAACACGCTCTAAATAAAAAGCTACCAAAATGGCGACATCCAGTTCATGAGTGTTTTTCAGCTGCGTGGGTAATTTTTCAATTCTGTACACTGAGTAAAAAAAAAACAAATTAAGAAAGAAATGAAGCAAAAACTACAAAAACAGTACATAGCACTTCAATTTAAACACATTACTCTTTCACATTAAAATTTGTGTTTTACTTCCGAGTTTGAAAGTATATAGGCACAGTAATTTCATCCGTGAGCCATGTTTCGTCAACACCGTCCCCCTTGTCCTTCCCGGCTCTGCTTTACTTCTCGGACAAGGTCGCGGTCTCTCTTTTCCAGATGCCACTGTGGAGCCACGAGCTGCCAAACATCAAAAAAATAGCGGGCTCTCAGTCGCAGCTGAAGTGAGCTTTCTTTTAAAAAAATTATCAGGTCAGTAAGACAATAAAACATCACTTAACTATTCTCAAGAGTCTCCCGGATGGCAACCAGGAATATTCATACAAAGATGCCGCCTGTTATGCAGGAATATTCCAACTCTGAAGGGTTTCATTCCAAAGCTCTGTGTTGAACGCACATATTTTGTCTGAATTTCAGCACAATTAAGATACTCCTAAATCTCTATTTACAGGCACACACAAGAACATCTTGGTGCATACTTGTTTTAAACATTTGGGGTATATTAAATAGTCACATTTACACTTTGATAGAATGGTACGAGGATCGGCCACAACATTAAAACCAGACAGGTGAAGTGAACAACATTGATCATCTTGTTATAATTTTCAGCAGGAAGATTTTAAATTTACTTTGAAACCCACCCACTCATCTGTTTTCGGGTCCGGGTCAGAGCTTCTAGCAATTCCAGGAAGCTCTGACCCGCTACATGGTAATGGCGTTTCCCGATGGCCGCGTTCTACCACAAAAAGTGCTCATAAGCATATGAAGAAGCGCAGAAAACAACCAACGGTACTCAGTTTGGGACAACAGACACCTGAAGAGACCATAGAAGAGTAGTCCCTCCTCTTAAAGGGTCTCAATCCGAACTCTCAATCCAAATCGAGCCCAACTCAAAACCTACAGAAAACATGCAGCAATCCGAGGACCTGCAGCAGGGCAGATCCGTGAAGGTTTTCATGGCTCAAGAGGGTCGTGCACATTATTCAGCTGGTGGTTTTAATGATGTAGCTGACCAGGTTATATAAATGTGTGCATATATACCAAATTTATTATTCAAAATTTTTTTTCTCCAATAGAGACATTTAGAGAAACAAGTTCATTATCATAACCACTGAGGCTTTGACAAAAGTCTGTATACGAATTTCTCATCTTTCTATAATCATGTTTAGACATGAATGTAAATAATGTTCACAACTCCAATATTTGCCCAAAATCCGTTAAAGATTTAAGTCTAAAATATGGCCTCTTTTTCAAAGAAAAGCCGAGACGATGAAAAAAGCGTGATGGCTGATTTCCAGTTTCAGAGTTACGTGGTTTGACTGTCACGACTGACTGAGACACCGGAACAGAAGTCAGCCACTGTTTTCTTAATTTTATGATCAGTACCTGTACTGCTGGACCTCAGTGATCATTTTGTTCTAATAAATACTGACAAATACTGCTTAAAAAAGATATTACTTTGAATCTTCTTGTCAGTATTGCAGCAGATCAAGAAAACTCTGAATTCTTACACATCTGTAAGTTTAACACATGAACGGACTTAAATAATGTTGTTCGGTTAGTTTTACTTTCATGCCAGGAGTTAAACTGTAAAGAGCGGTTTAATTAAATATTTTACAGCTGCAGCAGAGAACCTGTCAGTGCCATCTTCCTCTGGGCATGTCCACATCGGGCACCAGGTCTTCATTCAGATAAATCTACTTGGTTTGTATCTCTGCTGACACCTGTATTTGTATTTAATCGGGATAAGTAAACCTTTTTTGTTTTCCTTCAAAAAAATGACCAGCTCTGCATATTAGATACCTCATTTTGGAGTGAAACTCTTCGACCTGTGATGTGGCAGAAAACAGGAAATATACAGAATAATATCAAGTTAGCACCATCAGTGCAGCAAAAGGCATTCGACTCGTGGAGGCTTGGCCTGGTTCCACTCATGGCTGGAAGTAGAGGACTTCGCGGTGTTGTTTAGCTCTGTGATAAACTCGTCCGGATCTGACGAGTTCTGATGAGGTGTGAAAGCTCTGGGACGTCCCCTATTTCTTCAAACACTGGTACATCAATGCTCGTGGATTCAACACGTAGCGCTCGGAGTTGAGCAACTTGGTGAGATTCTGTGGCACGTGGGGCCGGGGCGCCATGTAGGACATGCCGGGGCTCACCGCCATCACCTCGGCAATCTTCTTCTTCATCTCACTTATCTCCCTGTCCTGCTTCATCACCTTATCTGTCAGAGGAAGGTGTAGATGTAAGGAGATAGATACTGAATGAGCTGCAACGCATAGGATTTCTGTTATTTCTGCACTCGAATGTAAGCTGAGCAAGATTTTCTCTGTCCGTGCAAAATCCCCTTAATCTTAACCTTAAACTCAAATCGAGGTAATAAGCTAGATGGATTATTCAAAGAAGACTTTATCTGAGCAGAAGTAGTCTAAACTCATCGCTAAGATTTGTGGTATCAAGGGTGTTATCTACATTTGGCTGAAATTCCCCACAAGGAGGAGAAGTGGTCGTGTGAGGTCTGACAACTGAAATGTTAAAACACCCTCTATTAAACCACAAAATCATTGGGTTTAATTTAATGGATTTTTGGTCGAATGCCTGAAATCAGATCTGCAGTTTAGCACAGCTCTGACATTTCTCCAGCCCTGAGACTGGCAGTAGGATTACAGTAGCCTGTCACCTCTAGAGGCTAGGGTTATGTCTCCACCTGCTCTCAAACTGGGAACATTTCACATGTTAAGTGAATGTGTTAACCACTACACCACAGAGCCACTTTCATAGTCTCTCACTAACCATTAAAAGCATTTGCCAAAGACAATACAAAGGAAAAAATTAAGCTAGTGCAAAACTTTTTCTTTCTAATGGCCAGGAGGGGAATGCACGGTGAACAGCTCTCAGCAGCCTCGCTCTGTCACCTCAGCACACACTTTCTGATGTATATGCAGTCTCAACTGATAGTTTCAGGTCGTACTGATGAAACAAGAAGTTCACTTTGTAAATAAAGGTCCATGTTAGAGTCAGACAGCAGCATCATCCATGGTACGCTCAGAGGCTTGACCATCTGGTACCCTCAGTTTTTCAGGCAGATCAACCTTGAGGTTAAGGTAACAGGGATTTGAACACCTACTGTATCTTGGACGTCTATGCTGACAACAATACCCCATCAGCCTTTTACGACTGATGGGTAAAAAGCTGAAATGCCAAAACTGCTTCAAATCGGGACTTCATTAACCAATCGGTAACATCATGGCTGCATCCATCTTTTATACTTTCTATGCTACTGACAAGTGGCTTAAAGGAAGATTACAGAAGTTCTTGGGGATAATACGCCTCATCGTATTATCCTAATCATACGCAGTGGCACTGATGAAGCCATGTAAGCATGGTCTAGTAGTTTGTATATTACTTAACATTAGCTTTTTACTACTGCCAATTGGATTCAAGCTTCCAAAATACAACATATAAACAAAAGTACTGGAGCAACTACACACTACACCTACAGGAACTGCTCAGCAATGGAAACCCATGCCATGAAGCTCCCACTATCACTAAGCTCTTTAGAACAGCTCATTCTTTCTTTTACAATTGCTTGTAAAGGCAATGTCACTGAACAAAAACTGAACTCAAAGATTATGAGGTGTGGCCCAATAATGTAATTTATCATAACTGGCATCAATTTGTGAAGAATTTGTTTCCAAATATGTTTTTCTGTATTTAGTGATAACCCAAAAGTAATCAATTTGGCTTCTTTTTTTTTTTTTTTGAGGGAACCACGACAATGCTAAAAGAAAAACATTAAATAAACAATTTTTAAAAATCCCAGCAGTCACACGGTGGTGCTGTTCAATCCGACTCACAATTTGCCCCACATATCATAGTTTACTTTCCTTGACAGTAATTTCTAATCTAATGGCAGTTTGCAGATCAAACTGAAGAAGGGGAAAAAACACAGTGATGTAAATCAGGGATGTCAAACTGATTTTACAGTCCGTTTAAAGCATATCATATTTGATACATGCGTTTTTGAGACTTTTACATCATCAGTATGATTTTTAACTAATTAATATATAACATTTTTCCCCAGAGGGTTGACTAAACACTTCATTTTCAAACAAATTGAATTTTCTGGCATTTATGTCATGGTTCAGGATTTAACGGATTAAGTGTGAATAATTTTAACTAGACACCGAATCCCTCAGAGATCTTAATATAAGAAAAACGGTAGATCTTCTACATGATAAAGAAATTGCTGAAAGTCATCTGACGACTCTTTGAGCATAAACTGTAAGAAATAAATGTATAAAATTACAGAAGAAATTCTGGTTAGTCACTGTCCAGACTGTCCTGTAATTATAAAATAGGTTTTGCTAAGTCACAGAAAATATATTTTCTTTTGGTTTTACATTAATGTGGACCCCTTTCTGTCATTTAATAGTTTATCTATCACTTAAGTACTTTGGTGTCGTATGAATGCCAGTGGGGGAGGTCTTTATCTATATGAAAAACCTGTAAAACCTCTGAAAATACAATAAAAGTCCCAAATTTATGTCATAGTATCCTTCACATTTTCCAAAGCTGTCAGGTGGGTTTGACACCCCTGATCTAAATTAATATCAGAAATAAGTATATCAACCTTGGGCGATTTCTAGCTGTCTGCGGGCATCTCCCAGCGCAGAGAAGAGGTCCAGTTTGATGCGAGTCTCAGCGCTCAGGTTGTACTCCAGATGTTGAGCCTTTTCCTGCATGGCTGACAAAGTGGACAGCAGCATATCTGTCTCTTTTTCCACACAGCGGTACTTTCCCAAAGCCTGAGTCCAGAGAACACATTAGCAGTAAGAATAAGTGCAAAACATCAAAATGCCAGTAGTAATTCCTGCAGCGACCACCTGTGGGAGTTGGTGCTTTGGTTTCCTGAGTATCTTTTTCTTTTTTTTGTATTTCAGACAGGCACAGTTTACGCTCAGAAAACCAATGCACCACACACATAATTACTTCCAAACAGTGATGACGGCCAGCCAGCCATTCAAAAAACATAAAATCTGCAGCACATTATCATTAAGATATTTTGAAAGATGACTCTTTCTAGGTTAACAATTTGCCTTTTGTGAAAGGTGATAAAAAAGTGTAATGTTTTTATGAAAGACCTGGCTTCTAGTACAGCATGCTCCATGGAAAGTATGCCACTAAAATGACATCAAATACCACACAGAACCACAATTTACACACCTAATGTCACACAAAAACACCCATACAGTAATGCTGCATACTGATGTGATGACAGAGTGCATTATGGTGACTGCAGGCCAAAATAAAATGGATTACAAAAAAAATGCTCAAGTTCCTCAATGAAAACCATTCTGTTTTCTTAGGGAGTTAAACACACAAAAATCAGAAACAGCAAATCAAACAGCAAAAGAAGGACTTCATGACCAAACTGAGGACAACCGAGCACTGGATCACTTGAGACTCACAGACACTTAAATGCACAAGTTCATTCCCAAATAGAGTAAAAAGATACCTCAACATCACTCTCTAGATCTACCACACGACTGTCTTTCACTTGATACTCCAGTTGTAGTTGTTTGTACTCTGTCTCTAGCTCTTTAACCTTTTTCCTTAACATTTGGGTTTCACAGTGTTCCTGCCTGGTGTGGGAAACGGAGAAAATGAGAGCGTTTGAGCAGTGACAGAGAGGCTTTGGCGGGAACTGAAGACCAGTTTCCACAGAAAGAAACAGAACATTTGATTTGCATTATAAACACTGATGTTTTCTCTTTCAATTATTTTGAACACACACACGAGAGATTTCTTTAAAAGAAGTAACTGCTTATGGTAAATTAAAGAATCATCTGTTTTCTTGCAGAGAATTAGAGGAAAAGATCAATGTCACTCTTGGTTAGCTTAGAGCTAAGACAGGAACGCGGGAAAAGCAGCTAGCTCGGCTTTGTTCGAAGATAGCATACGCTCTTTGGCCACTCAAGTACGCCTGTTCAACAGCTCATTAGCGCAAATATCTCATCAGCCAATCACATGGAAGCAACTCAGTTCATTCAAGCTGGCAGATACATTCAAAGAGATCAGAATGAAGAATAAAAGCAATCAAAGTCACTTTGTTTATAGCACAGCGAATGGTGCCTGTATTTCAGAAAGTGATGATCTACTGGAATTTTCCCACACAACCATCTCTAGGGTTTACAGAGAATATCAAGAAGAGAAAATATCCAGTCAGTGGCACTTGTTTTTTAAAACGTGTCAACCCTGTATTGGACTATTTCTTGGCTAACCTTTAGCGAAAGAATGCCAAATTAAACGGTAAAGTGTCGGTTAGCATGGTTTTGGTCCCACAGGTTTCAAGACTGGTAAATGTATTCCCAACCAGTTGGTGAGTGGTTGTAAAGCTGTTCACAAAGGATGCTGCACTGAAAACCTCTTTCAATTGCTTTGATTACTAGCAGGTTGCCATGGTCGCCCCTAGTTTACATGGAAGTCGCTGACTTGCCTGCAAATGCTGGATAACTATTTACTGTGCTGTAGTGGAACTTCAAAAACTGCGACATAACCCAGAAATGGAGTTCAGTGACTTTCTAAGAAAATGTTGTAACAACATATGTTGACCCAACATGTATTTATGTTTCTAGGGAGGTTACACCATAGGCTGCAGTATAAGATTTCAGTGGAGGTTGCAGTTACGACATACCTATGGAACAGACGTCCTGCTGAATCATAATTCTTGCTGTAAGGATGACCGTGGCAATCTGTGAGCAACCAAAGCAGCTGCAAGGTAGTTTTCTTTGTAGCACTCTCTTTGCAACCGATTTCACTGACCGACTCCCAGCAACTTCATGCTGAGCAGTTAAGGAATACACATTTTTACTTAGCAAGTGCTGGTTGCCAGAGGGCCACCGGCTGGTCTCTGGGCCTGCGTGACTGAGGCTTAAGGTCTAAGTGATGACTGGCAGCCTTCTTAACCTCTGAACAACGCAAGGCTAACTGGCTAAGGAAGGCTAGTCAAAATAATGTTAATCTCCTCATCTAACTCTCAACAAGAAAGCAAGTAAACATCATTTAAACCAAATGTTTGGCCGCATGCTTACAGCAACATTTAACTCAGAGCATGTTTCAGGAAATATAAGAGGGAATTTAAAAGTGTGGGTTACCTGTTTGTTAGACTCCGTGCTGTGCTCGCCGCCTCCTCCAGTTTTTGAGCCTGAAGCTCAGCCAACTGCTTCTCAGCAGAGAGTCTGGCCTCTGCCTCTGCTCTGGTCTTCTTCTCCAGCATCACACAAGTCTGCTTGTCCCTCTGCTTGTTTTTAGTTAGGCACAGAATCCTGAAGGGATGACATTAAAGTGGTTTTAAATAAGTTGCAGAAAAAGAGCAGCAATATGTGGGTTACTGCCACATGCAAATGGACTCGTTTGAGATCAGCGTCAAGCATACTTCAAAAACAGACATAAATGTTAAACAGGTTTCTTATCATCCTTGTAGTTGTTGTAGTCACTGGAGAGCACCTTCCTTTAAAAAAACTGGAGCATGGCTTATCAAAGCTGGTGGTGCTGATCAAAACTGCATAACATGCTCTTCTCAAATGCGATTTTATAGCCTTTGGCTGCTGGACGTGGTTTTGATGTGGTAAATGTGTTAGGAGTACCTCTGTAGTGGGATAAAATAACTAACTGAGCCTCCCTCCCCCCATTTTTTTTTAGCTCTAAATGTGCTTAGAGTGATAATCTGAGTCACATATTGGAGGAAAAGGAGGAGTGGAAACATAATTTGCATTAAAAACATAAAAAAGTAGATACTGTGGCAACGTACAGGTAATAAAAATGGTTTGTGTGACAAAGCAGGTCTGCAGCAGTGCAGCTGATCAGCAAAGTCAGTGATCTCATCATATTCTCTTTTATATAGTGATATACTATACTTCATTCATACAGCACATTCACCTGATCTGATATTGTAGCTTTACACACAAACCTTTTCTTTTTCTTGTGCAGGTTTTTAATTCTACAGTGACAGTTAAGTTCAAATCTTTTGCTTTGTTTCATGGACAGAAGAAACAATTTCATTGTCACTTTAGGTTTGGATAAGATGGGATAAACATTTTTTCATATTTACTGACAGTAGCTACAGTATTTTAAGTACTATAAAATCCGGTTTTGTGTGATAACAACTGGACACTCACTTGCTCTGGAGAAGCATGTTGGACTGTCTGAGCAGGGAAACCTCTGGTCTAAGGCTCCTCTCGCTGTTGGTCAGGTTGCAGATGTGACTTCGAAGCTCCTGTTCGGTCTGCCTGCTCGACTGCAGCTCACTCTTCAGCCTCCTCAGCTCCTGCTCCAGCCTTCAAGATAAAAAACAACATTTTAGCACTGCTGTAAGCATCACCCGAGTCAAGCTTAGCTAAATACTTACTTGCTTGTCTGTTCAGTGTGGTAACTCTGAGCTGCTGTGGCACTCTTTTCTGCTGCATCCCTGTTGGGGCTGACTGTTTTGGAGCTAGACCTGTGTTTCTTCTCAGTCCTTCCCGCAGGAGGTGAAGGAGTATTTGAGCTGCTTCTTCTGACTTTTGGTGAGGAGTTCTTAGCTGCTCGCGTTGCTTTGCTGCCGTGCTCCTCTTGAGGTAGATTTTCTGGAGTTGTTGATGATTCCGGTCCTCCTGTGCTGCTGTGCAGCAGATCTTTGGACTCACCCACACTGGGTTTGGATGATGACGACGATGACGATGGTGGCCGGCGGTTTGGTTCGGCTGACCTCACCTCCTGTGACCCTTTCTCTGTTGCTCTCTCCTCACTGCGGATCTGGAGGCAGTCCACAGTGTGTGCCTCATCTTGGGCCAGCACAGCACCGTTCTGACACTGATACTGACTCGACTCAGGCTTGACTTTCCATTTGGAGGCTGTAAAATCAAAACAGGTCAGTTTTAGGAGTCTACTATGGAGCTCAGAAACATCTAGGATGAGTAAACATTTATGGCTATCCTCACTTTGGTATGAACTAACATTTAAAACTTTAAACAGGGCCAGCATCAGTCACTAGAATTACTTATTAATCACAATGAATTCTCACTGACTTAACCCAACCAAAATATTTGCCTGCAGTCCTTTCACTGATCCTATGGAGTGATAAATAGGTTCTCCACTGCTTTGCACAGTTTACACCAGGGATGTGTCAAATCCATTTTACATCATGGGGCACACACAGCCCACTTTGATCTTAAGTGCACCCGAAACACCCCTTTCTGTCAGTGTAAAGAAGTTTAAATACACATTTAATCCCTCAGATACCTTAATATAAGAAAAACTGTGTTTTTCTTATATTAAGAAAATCTCAGTTCTTCTATATGATAAAGAAATGTTGCTATAGTGAAAAAAAGTCACTTGACAACTCTTTGAGCTTAAATTGTAAGAAAAACATGTGTGAAATTACAGAAATCATTCTAATGAATGCCAGTGGGGGAGGTCTTTATCCATAGGAAAAGCTGTAAAACTTTTTAAAAGTCCAGCATAAGCTGGTTGAGAAAATGGGTGGATTTATGACGGGGACCACATTTTTTCATATTAGCATTATGTTGTTTTCAGTAAGACACGAAAGAAATAATTTGCTCTGTAAAGTGTGGGGTTATAAATTAAGATTCTTATTTAGACTTACTTTGGCCACCACAGGATTTTGAACCACAGTGGTTTCGACTTGCATCTTTTATATACAGTCCAAATCTCACCAGTACTGACTAGTAATGTGTGCCGAGTTTGTAATTAGTAAAATAGCCAGAAAATGAAAACATGGGGAGACATGACTGTTTAAAAAAAAAAAAAAGCAAACAAAATCTACAACTTAAAATGTCAAATGTATTTTTTATAATGCACGTATTGAAAAATTTTTTTTGTCAAAATTGTTTTAAAAATGTCAATTTTTGCACCTTTGCTTCTTATTCCTTTCCCTTCATCTCTGTCCATGTTAGTTTCTCCCCCTATCATGTAATTACCATATTAAACGATACATTTATACATCGGTATGCAGCACTTATCTATTTTCAGAAGCACTCTGAAATATTTTGATAGCACAAAGCGTCAAACAGTTGCAGTAACAAGAAGATTGCTTACTTTGTTGTGCCAGCAGCAACACATCATGTTCTAGGAGGTTATTAAATACAGTTTCAGCTTGGGACTTTTACTGTCTGCGTCTTCTCAGCGAACTGACTCACAAATGTATGTTGTAATCACCTGACTGAGTGGCTCCATAAGTGGAGATTGTAATAAACTGTCAGCTTGAAAACAAGAACGACCGAAACCAAAAGAAGAGTGAAAAACCCTCCAGATAGTAAGAATGGTAGGTAGATGGTGCAGGTGCACAGACTCACTGCTGCTGCCATCTGTGCCTGTCTTGGGATAAACCTGCAGGCCTGGGGGGAGCGAGTGCTGAAGGAGGTGCATGTGGAAGTCATTCTCACTCTGCACTGCTTTCTGTATGCGCAGCTTAAAGATGTTGGTGAAGTAGCAGGTGGCATCAAACCCCAGATAAACTACAGGATATCCAATACTGAAAGTGAATACAAGGCAGTTAGAATAGAATAGAACAGCCCTTTATTGTCATTGTACATGTACAAGGAAATTGTGGGTGCTCCACATTAACTGTGCCGGAATAAATTATAAATATTAGAAAGTAGTCAGTATATAATATTTCAGTGATGAAATATTAAATACTAAATCTAAACTTTATACATTTTGTATCAAATAAACATACCAGTGAGCGGCAAAAAGATGGGACAGGTTGGCATGTGAGGTTTTAAGGTCTTTGAGTCGAAGTGAAGCCTCTGTGTACACGAGCAGGATCCACAGAGACACAGTTGATATACAGATGCCCTTCTCTGAGGAAAAATAATCAGATGAGAAGAAAATTACTAATAAATTTAAATAAGAGAATATTTTTTATTTTATGAGATGAAGAAAGTTGGGCAGATTTTGCCAAGTGGATGATAATTGTCATACTCACCTGTGTGCCATATGTAATTGAATAACACATAGGTGCTCGCCACAAAGAACAGCCAGTGCAAAGGAACAAAAATTAAACAAAAGATGTCCAGAGTGAAGGCAGCGCAAACAAAAACAACACAAATAACCTGCAAACAAAAAGGGAAAGAAAGAAAAACAACAACAACAGGAAAGTAAAATGTGAGTAATTCACTGAAAATAGAAGAAAAGCCATGTTCTTGTTCACTGCGTGAAGCCTACTACGCATCACTGGCTGGCTTATCATCATCAGGGCCAGTGCACAGAATATGAAATCACACACAGCAGGAGTCCTCACCAGCCCATGGCAGTGGAAAGTGGTGTACACGCTCCCAAAGAAGAGCCAGCACGGCCACAGGTACTCCAGTCTGAATTCAAGGATGAAGTCTGCCAGCAGCACCAGTGTCCACATCACCATAAACTTCAGGAAGGTGTACGCGCTATAAAGACATGCAGACATTATTAAAAAGAAGAAGGAAAAAATCAATCCTCCTTCATTATTATTATTTCACTTTGAGCTCATGGCAAACAAACGTGCCTCTTCCTCTGAATCCAGTAAATAAAGGCTGTCAGATAAAGCACCAGATACTCACACACAGCCCAGTATGAGACCAAACTGCAAAAACGGCATTAACCTCTAATTGAGCCAGCTGTGTCTTAAAAATACAGTCCTTCCTTTTAAGCAGGGCCACTATAACAAGAACAATGACTGTTCCCTCATTTTATTAGGCAGCCGCAAGCCAAACAGGAGCTGTGGTTTTCCTCCTTTGTTCTGCTCATCCATAGGCTGCTATCACATCACCCCTTCTTTGTTTGGTAACCATGGCAAAATTTCATCTGGAGGAGAGAGGGAGCACCACAGCATCCTTCTGCAAGTCGACAACAGCCTTTTAATTTTACTTATAAAGAATGCATTTCAATTAATCTCACTTGTATTTATATTATAACTAACTGCTAACTGTGCAGGTTGTTCTACAAAAAATTAAAAAATAAATTAGAATCAGCTGGGAGAGGGCTTTTAAACAGCATATTAAATCCATCCTAGAAGCCCAATATAGTCTTTTTTATTATCTTATTCTCCTTGAGTAGCATGCTTAATTGGCCTAATAAAACTCCCAAGCAGAGCTGATGTAACTTTAGTTCTCTATATGATGTTATTGAAATAGCGCCCTTTATTGTATTTAGCACTATCACTAAATATAATTACCAAACAAGCTAGTGAAGTGTAAAGGAATCACCACAGCGTCTTTAATTCTCCAATCAAGTTCTTATCTGCTTTGTAGTATTTCCAGTAGTGTAATTCAATTATATGTGTTTGTGTTTGTGTGAAATCACTGCACACAAAGAGCAAGAAATATAATATGTGACTGGCACACAAAATAAAATAGGACGTCTAAATCTCAAAAATAAACACAATCTCTTGCATGTGTTGTTTTTTGTGGAAAGAAAGAAAGAAAGAAAGAAAGAAAGAAAGAAAGAAAGAAAGAAAGAAAGAAAGAAAGGTGCACAATGAACAGAAAAAGTGGTGTTCCGTTCTTATTTGCGTGTCTTTTCTTGTCTGGACTCAGTCTAGACGCTTCCAGATTTTGTGTGCCAAATAAGCCAAAGAGGAATGCGCGTTTGTTTCTATTTTTCCAAACGACGAATGGAAATAAATAAACAAAACGCAATGTGGCCGTGTTAATTTCACGCGCGATTAAGAGTGGGGGATAGAGCAGGCAGTGAGAACGCAGATGAGACGAAAGTAGGCCGACGTCAACTTGCACAGCTTCTGTTTTTATTCTGTAAACAAGGCGGGCTGAAGTAACCCGGTGCAACATTTGCGCCTTAATTCCGCCGCACTGAGGCTAATCAAAGCGCCACGCTGGCTCATTTAGGATGTGAGGGGCGGATGGAGGTGATGGGATGCGAGTCAGACAGGTGAGCGGGATGACGACGGCTGAAATCTACACAAAGACGGCCACCACAACAAAAGCAGCCGCCGGGCGCCGCGGCTCGCTACCTTTCAGACAGCTTCTCCGTGATTTTCAGCTTTTTCATCTTCCGTAGCCTGTTCGCGTCCACATAACGTTTCTTCATCTTATGGCTTTTGCTCCCCGCGTGCTGACGTTGGACACACTGCAGCAGAGGCGACAGCGACGGGGGATAAACGACAGAGCCGAGAGGAAAGACAAAACAGCCCGGCTCCCTCTTTGTGGATGAGGATGCTCACTTCAACCTGTGATGATGTCTGCGAGCAAATGTAGAGGACCGACACTTCTGCGCATGCTCAGTGGAGGTTGTACCTACAAACGTTTATCGCAGAAGGGGAGCAAATCAACACACTGTACACATGTGTTCTGTTAATTATGACACACACTGCACAAAAATACTAACCGGGCTCATTATAAGTTCGATAATAAAGGTGATTATCATTCAACTCTCAGTTTTTTAGTCTCTTTCAGTTCCTTGATTTGGCTTTAAACTGCATAACTTTACTGTTTCAATCCAAAGCGTGTCAAACATCAGGTCCGGGGACCCGGCAAAGACTCCTGTGCAGCCCACTGGACAGTTTGGGAAAATGTGATGGAGGGACTTCTAACTGTATTATAGCTTTCAGGAACTCCCCCTGCAGTAATTAAGTGAGAGATAAACACCGTCTACTATAGAAATTGCTTTTTTGTTTAGTTTGTTTAGTTTAGTTTTTGTTGTTTTTTTTATTTTGGGCGGGACCTTATTGAAATAAAAGCACGAGATTTTCTGCCAATTAACAAAAACTTCCGTTTTTTAATTAGCTACAGGACAGGCTGGGCAATAAGCTATTACAACTTTTTTTGTAATTGTATACAGTATCTTACAATGAAAGCTCCAAAAGTTGTGCTGGAAGATGATTTTCATTTACTACAGCAGCATGTCTTTGTCATGTAGAAAATACGGTTGAGACTGCATTACCTTTTTATATTAAAATATCTGAAGGATTAAATGTGGAGTCTACACTGATTTTTGCTGTTTTCACTGGTCTGGTCTACTTAATATAAAACTGATGTTAAATGAGTTGACAGGTGAGACGTTAATTTGTTATAGCAACATTAAGTTAAACGCAAGTAACTTAAATGTCTGTGAAGGTTCTCACAGAGCTCATTGTGAAACCTGGACCCACCCTATCGTGTGATTTCCTGAGGTCAGATGGCCCAGGGTGTGAGTGGGCGTTAAGGCGTCTGGGAAGGGATCTCAAAACTGGATTATAGATGGCAGACAGATACAAACACACCCTATCACACGATAGGGTGTGTTTGTATCTGTCTGCCTGTCTGATCCTCTACCTAATCACATTAGGTAGAGGATCATCAAGGGGTCCTTTGTCCCTCTTTGGGGGGATACTCCCACTGGGTTTAAATCTGGGACTCTCCACCATTTGACCTTTAAAACTGAAGAAGCTTCTCGGATGAGAGGTGAAACATCTTCAAGCAACTTAAAGAAGTCCAGACGCTTTTCTTTCAAAACTCCTTAGACTAAGTAACTTAAATACACTCCTCGACTGATCTGAAAACGTGAACATCAAGTCAGTTAAACTTCAGGAAATCACTCAGTCTAGTAAGGAAATATAAAACAATGTGAATTTGTTTCACCTGCGTGGATGTGAATGAAAGTGACAACAAGTGCACTGTAGAGGCAAACCGTGAAATGGACACAGTGGACCTGCATGTTTATTACACACTTTGCCATGCTATCCGGTTGACCTGGTGCTAGGAATGGTCAGCAATCTGTCAGCAGGGAAATGGAGTAAAGTGACTGCTAAACCATTTCTGCTTTGGGAAGTTTTCTTTCTTGTTGCCTCTGTGAGAAAGAAATACTTTAACTTCATTTAAATGTAATGTTTGGAGATTTTGTAATTAAAAAAAAAACAATACACAAACAAAACAGGGAGATGCAAATAAATGACACAGAAACCATTTAAACAGTAGAAAATCTGACCATGTAGAGCATGTTTTGTAGTGAATGGTCTTTACAGCTAGTTTTTATTCATAAGTCTGAATACAGGAACACATTTTGTGCTCCACTGAAATGTTATGAAACAAGTGTTTACACTGCAAGGGAGTAGATTTATTTTTCCTCAACAGAAATAAACCTGTTTTTTCAAGTAAGATAAGATTACTTTTGTGGAAAGAAATGCAGAAAGTAGAGGAAATAAAAGAGAAAGACTCCCCCTAAATGGTTGTGAATTGAATCATGATGACTGGATATACCACAGATGTAATTTGCCATACTTTGACCAACACCCTGTGTTTGATATATCATTAGCTTGCAGTATTGTTATTACAATTTCTTCATATTTTATTGTATGAATTGTGTGTTTTTGCTTCAAAGGAGAAGTTTGCGGATCTGACCAGTTCTCCATAAGCTGACAAGGATATAGAGAGGAGAAATATTATCAATGCTCTTAATCGCATTTGAATTTTGTAATACCATTTATAGTCATGTTAAAAAGGTCTTCACGGGATTTCATGCAGTTCTGTGGAAAACTAAATAGATACCATGATTCAGTATTTTACAGCAGTAAATTGGAGCAATAGTTTCCTGTATGACTTTATCAGTTACATCATTGCAGAGGAATTTTGGCCTTTGATAATGTTGATAATTATGATTTGCTTCATTGACATTTGGAGACATTGATTTATGCATAGCTCTCTTTAGGTCCCACCACAGCATTTGGACTTTGACTAAACCATCACATCACATTGATTGTTTTCTTGTCCAGATGTTCTGTTGTAGATTTGCTGCTGTGATTGAGATCACTGTCCTGTCACATGTCCCCAATTTTTTCAGAGCTCTTTCCAAAGTCAGTAAGGTTTCGATAAAAGTCAAACAATTTGGCGTCTAAGGTTTAAAATTATGGTGAAAGGGTTTTTATTTGTGACTCACAGACGTGAAGTGATTGACTGTTTTGAAAAAGGTGATATGAGTGTCTTTTGCGCGGATGAGATTGCGCTATGAAAAAAGTCTTTTTCAAAGCATCGAAACATATGGAGAAAAATTCTAACACAGAGCTGCATGTTTCAGACTAGACAAACTGCCAAAACCTCTGCTTTTACATGGATGGTCACATTTGTTAAAGTTCAGTTAGAATTCATTTGATTAGCAGCACCTGGCTAATTATCCTTTTATTTCCCGTGGAAGCAGTAAGGATGCACTTAAAGAGGACTTTAATGCAATCTTCTGTTTGATATTCAAAATTACAGCAAAAGGAAACTATGCATAGAAAAAGAAAATAAACACAGGGGTGCAGTGAAAACACACACATGCGATCCACAGACATGGTAAATGGCCTGTATTTGTATAGCGCTTTACTTAGTCCCTAAGGACCCCAAAGAGCTTTACACTACATTCAGTCATCCACCCATTCACACACTGGTGATGGCAGCCACATTGTAGCCACAGCCACCCTGACAGAGGCGAGGCTGCCGGACACTGGCGCTACCGGGCCCTCTGACCACCACCAGTAGGCAACCAGGTGAAGTGTCTTGCCCAAGGACACAACAACCGAGACTGTCGGAGCCGGGGCTTGAACCAGCAACTTTCTGATTACAAGACAAACTGCCAACTCTTGCGCCACGATCGCCCCACATGACCAAGGACTTGTCCCATGTGCGAATCGAAGCAGGTGTGGTTATTCTCTCATTAGTCCTTGAATTTGTCTGTTTGTTTCACTCATGTCTAAGTGGTCCTGCCTGTATAAATCACACATGTGGGGGTCTTGGAGGGTGACAGGTAACCGCGATGATGTACAGCTCTACCCTGCTGTGCGCTCTGGAGTATTCGTGTAATAATTTCAAATATGCGATTGACATGAGTTAATAACGTTTCCTCTGAAAAACCTGCTTATTACAGCTTTAACAGAGCTTGCAATAAGCATAAACAAAAGAGTTTTGCAGACAACAATGTGTTATTTAAACATTAAAGATTAAATGGCCATTCTTCTGCTCTGCTCTCCAAAGAGATGGAACAAGGCTGGGGCCAGTGCTGAGAAATAGGACGATACTTGATCCATTAGTCACAGGCCAGCCAGTAAGTTCCTGTTTCTTTGACTGTTTTAATGTAGTAACTAGGAATCAGTCATTTTTTTAAGTAGTCGAAGGGCACATACAGAAAATCACAGAAGCATGCAAATAGCAGCACATTATAAAATCCTTATAGTTGGACAAATAAAAAAAAAATTAACCTTGTTTCTTGTGACATTTTGTTGGCCTAAGTTTTAGTGTTATTTCATTTAGTCTTTTTTTCTGTACTGTAATCATGTTTCATTTATTTGACCGTTTTCTGAAGGGGCGTGTCGTCGTCATCAATTTCTTAGATTTCACAAGGCAAGACAGCAAATTTCCTTTGGGTTCTTAATGTGAGCACTCATTCATTTTGGGATTTAAAAAGTGTCACCACACTGATTAAACTATCTCACTCCTCCTCTTAGCCAGCGGCTGTGGGGAAAATCTGTACATGTCCAGCTTTCAGAACACCTGGAGCAACGTAATCCAGACTTAGAACGACGAGGTGAAGGACTTCAGCTATGGAGTGGGATCTATCAATGGAGGAGTGATGGGACACTAAACACAGGTTCTTCTCCACCTTCTTCTTTGGGCTGCTACCTTTAGGAATCGCCACAGTAGATCATCTGCCTCCATCTCGTCCTATCAATTCCATCCTCTTCTGTCACACCAACCCTTCTTCCTTCTTCACTACACCCATGAACCTTCTCTGAGGTCTTCCTCTTTTCTTCCTGTCAGGCAGCTCCATCTTCAAAACCCTTTGTCAAGTATATCCTGCATCCTTCCCCTGCACATGTCCAAGTCATCTCAGTCTCACCTCTCTAACTTTATCTCTAAAACCCTGAAACAGACATATCCCCCTGATGCATTGATTTCTAATCATGTCCATCCTGGTCACTCCAAATGAAAATCTTAACACCTCCTGTCTTTTTGTCCAAGCCACCATCACTAAACCATACATCGTATCAGGTCTCACTACCAACTTGTAAAATTTCTTTTTTAGTCTTGCTACTATCCTCCACAGGTACTGTTTTATATAAATATAGAGACATATAGTATATATAGTATAACTCAGGCACCCTTACTTGAGGTAATGCCACTGGATATATGTGTCCTTCCACAGGTGGTTTGGCACAAGTCCAATCAGATCAGCTGTGCTATGGCCTGCTGTCCCAACTCCAAATACAAGTACTTCTATGTCTGCCAATGCTGCCCACCATGAGTATAAAGCTTCCTGTAGTGATGATGTTTCTTAAAATTTTATTCACTTCAAATGATTGTTGAAGAGTAATTTGCAGTAAATGGATCCAAATGCTTTGGAGCATCATGCAATACAAAATGAATTTGGAAGCAAAAGTAAAATATAATTTCCTTTATTTTACCCTGAATGCATTCATTTTCTCTTTCGTTATTATCTTTGTATTGTGAAACCTGTTCAGCTACTCTACTGAGTGCTTTCTTATACACACAATAATGAAATTATCATTAGAAGCAAAGGTGATGGGTGAAATGCGAGCAACTTGCATCTACTTCAAACACGGCTTGAGGAAAATAGTGACAACTTTGGGCTGATATCAAGTGTTTGCTGTAATGTTTAGTATTTGATGGTCTGACCTACAAGGTCCCTAGAAGAAGGGACCTTCCTGCGGTGACTGCCCCAACGGCTGTAAAAACAAACTATGCAGTAAGTAGCATCCAATCAGAATATAATTTGTACAATTTATTCATGATCACAGATTAGCTCTACTTTGAGCAGTTGCTAAACAATGACAAAATAAATATTCTTAAATGGTGAGGAAGGTTACAAAATATATTATATGGTTTATGCTACTGTTTAATGCTTCTGTATCAGTCTGATGAGTACATTGACTGTTGCGAAGTGAAGCAACAGTGGCGCTACAATCACCCAACTGTGACTTTGTGGTTTCCCGCTTCTTGCGAGTGCACCAATTAGATCATCTAAATGCCAAATATCTGCTGATTGGTCAGCTTCAATAAAGATATGCTTATTAAAAACTTGCATTTGTGTTGTGTCTCTTAGCTTGGTCACCTAAAATTGCTACATACAAAAAAGTCAACTTGTTATGCTTTTATAGAGTAAATTGTCTATTTGATGTGTTCAGTAATTAGCAGAGATTGAAGAGGAAATTTACTTTGGTCTATGCTCCTACTTTTCTGCATCTGAGGCTGAGAGTGCTTCTCCTCAGGGGTCAACCCCACATGTCCCAGCTACACAGCGGGTTCCTGGTTCACATAAGGTTGTGTCTGTGTGAGGCAGGCTCATGCAGTCTACCGATGAGGAGCACAGATAGAGCTACAGACTCATATGGTTGGAATTCATCCCAACTGGATCCTTTAGTTTCCACTTTTCACTAAGTGGCGGGTGTTTTCGTTTCAGCCCATCAAACTTTCCATTCCAACTTAAACATTAGATTTCCTATTGCCCGCATTGTCGCACGGACTGCCATTGTGTGAAAATTAGTTCCCTTTCCATACGATAACAAACTTGTTTTATTGAAAATAAACACTTGGACCACATTTCTGTAACCTTGAGCGCATGCCAAAAAAAGCCTCTATGCTCATCCCCAACCTTATAAACAGTACATTGCACAATGATTGAAACTAGCACCACTGAATGAATAATGGGCCTGAAGGTCAGTTCATTGATCATTAATAATGATCAATGAACTGCAGGGCTGGGGAAACCTGCAGTCAGCTAAGACTGAAGAAGTCACTTGGATGAGTGACGAAACACTTCTCCCACTGAAAATGTCACGTCCAGATGAACAAAATCAACCTTTTGGGAACGATTTGAACTATGGTTTAACATCTCCACTTGTATCCTCCAGCCGCCCTACTGCTACTGAAAAAACACCAGTTACTCACCTGCTTGCCCTGCCTCTCCACTGTTACTCTACATTAGACCAACATTTTTGCAGAGCTCTTTTCAAAGTCACTAAGGTTTTGATAGAAATCAATTTGATGTCTAAGTCTTAAAAAGTAGGTGAAAGAGTTTCCATTTGTGAATCACAGAGCTGAAGTGATTGACTGATTTGGCATATTTTGAAAACGGTGATCTGAGCATCTTTTGCACAGGTGAGTTTGCGTTATGAGAACAGCCTTTACTGTTTCGAGAACTGCATTGAGAGTGGTGAGAATGATGTTCCTTGTCATGGTCCTGGGTCATGGGACACAGTGTTTTGAGTTTCACTGTATTTTATTATTCATTCAAGTTCTAGTTTCATTTTAGCTTATTTAGTTAATATTTATTATGCCTAGGTTGCTGTTATTGTTCGTTGTTTAGTAGATTCCCCTTGTGTCTTCACCCTTGTGTTTTGGTCTCCCTTGCCCTTTATGTTGTCATGTCTGCATCTCGTCATGTTTACTGTTTATTTTGAAAGTCTTGCTTCCATGTTCATTGTGTTTTGGCTCACTTCCCCTGTGGCGTCATAATGTTCATTCTAGTCAGCTGTTTCCTCATATGTCTCCACTTCCCCTGATCACCTCATGTGTGTATTTAAGTCTTTTGTCTCTTACTGTTCATTGTCAGGTTGTCTGCCTATATTTCCCCATGTTAGTCATAGTCAAAGTCATAGTCAAAGTTATAGTCTTGTCTTACTTGTCGGGTTTAGTTTTTCTTTATTCATGAGGTTCATGTTTGTGTAGTCCTCCTCTTGATTTTGGTTTTGATTCTTGTCACAGCCCAAATAAAGGTTCGCTTCTTGTTTAACTTCAGTTCAGTTCTCCCGTGTCTGCTTTTTGGGTCCGTACCTTAAACTCAGCGGTTGCCCAGCCGTGACAGTTCCTGATTGGAGAAAAACAATAGAGAAAAAATATAAACTGACAAAACCTCTGCTTTTATATGGTTGGTCACGTTTGTTAAAGTTGACTTAGACTGTATTTGATTAGCAGCACCTAGCTAATTATCCTCTTACTTCTAGTGGAAGCAGTAAGTATGCACTTAATGAGGAGTTTAATATGATCTTCGATACCCATCATCCAGATGGATGGCAAAACAACTAGTAGCTCAGTGTTCCAACATTTGGTAGAAGTAACTGTTTTCATAGCTTGAGATCAATGAGGTACCACACAAATGTTACCGCAAGGGGGAGTCAGGACGACAGGTCATGGGCAGATATGATCACCCCCACCCAACATTGGGTAACACGGCCCAAGTACGATGGAAGAAACAACATTAAGTGGGAGAGTAACTAACCTAAAAGATAGGATCATGGCGAAGGTTTCAATCTGGACCCTCCGCAACCGGCTACCAATATTACGTGAAGTACCCTCTGAAGGTCTACTAGAAGATGTGAATACAGCACTAAGGACAAACCCTACTGCACAGAAACTAGTCAGCTGATCTACACCACAGTACCAGTGATCTGTGAGATGCTTGGCTACAAGATTAAAAGCAACAAGGAGCAGTACCCTTCATGGAGAAGGAAACTAGAGGCCAAGATCAAGGTAGCACAGAGGGAAGTTAACCAACTATCACAGTTGCAGAAAGGTGCAATGAAGAAGGTGCCTTGGTACCCGAGGCCTTGGAAACTGCCAAACAAAGACTCACACCCAGGCACTTGAAGAGGTATACCAGAGAGATAGAGCCCAGAAGAACAAACCAGCTCTACCCCACAGAACCATCTAAGGTGTACTCCCAGTAGCAGGAGAACAATATGAGAACAGCCTCACCAATGTTGGAGATGGAGCAAAACTGAAATAGCATATAGGAGAAGGACACAATCCATAATCGCGATGCTCAGTGGCTAGTGGATGTAAGAGCAGAACACAGGAATCTCCCTAACAGGGTCCAGTAACCATCACATTGACAAACATCCCAGGAAAGGTCTCCGGTATGAAGAGTTGGACAGCACCAGGTCCCGCCATGATTCATGCCTACTGGTTGAAGAAGCTGACTGCACTCCTTGAGTGTATGGCAGAATGGCTAACTGAAGGTTGGACTGTCCAGATCCCTAAGGATCCCCAGAAGAGACCCTCACCATCTAACGACTGGCCAATAACCTGCCTCAGTACCACATGGAAGCTCCTGCAACATGTAGAAGATGGTAAAACAGGCAAATGCTGAGAAATGGGCCAATACCTGCTCCATGAGTCACAGTCCTGCCAGTAACGGAACGATCAGCAGTAAGTTCCTGTTTCTTTGACTGCTTTAATCCAGTAACCACAAGGAATGAGTCATTTTGAATCAGTAGTACAACCATGCATGGAAAAAACACAGAAGCATGCAAATAGCAGCACATAATGAATCCTTACATGTTGGACAGAAAAAAAAAAATCCTTATTTCTCGTTTTGTTGGTCTAGGTTTAACTGGTATTTTATGTTTGTCTTTTTTCTGTACCGATGTAATCATGTTTCCTTTATTGTTTTATGAAGGGGCCCTTCGTCGTCATCACTTTCCTAGATTTCACGAGGCAAGACAGCAAATTTCCTTCGAGTTCTTAATGTGAGCACTCACACTTGACTTCACGAAGACGATGAAGATGAATTTTCTTTGATGAGTGATCTCGAACTGAGCATTCATTTGTTTTGGGATTTAAAAAGTGTCACCACACTGATTAAACTATCGTACAGGTCCAGCTTTCAGAACACCTGGAGCAACGTAATCCAGACTTAGAACGACGAGGTGAAGGACTTCAGCTATGGAGTGGGATCTATCAATGGAGGAGTGGTGGGACACTAAACACAGGTTCTTCTCCACCTTCTTCTCTGGGCTGCTCCCTTTAGGAGTCGCCACAGTAGATCATCTGCCTCCATCTCGTCCTATCAATTCCATCCTCTTCTGTCACACCAACCCTTCTTCCTTCTTCACTACACCCATGAACCTTCTCTGAGGTCTTCCTCTTTTCCTCCTGTCAGGCAGCTCCATCTTCAAAACCCTTTGTCCAGTATACCTTGTATCCTTCCCCTGCACATGTCCAACTTTATCTCTAAACCCCTTGTTTTTTTGGATAAAAAAATATTTTTATGCTTTTGTTTTATGCTTCTTTATCACAGTAACTGTCCCAAACTGAAGCAACAGTGGAGCTCCAACTACCCAACTGTGACTTTGTGGTTTCCCACTTCTTGCAAGTGCGCCAATCAGATTATCTAAATCCCACAAACGTGCTGACTGGTCAGCTTCAACAAACATATGCTTATTAAAAACATGCATTCGTGTTGTGTCTTCCCAGCTTTGTTCCCTTAAACCGCCATATGAAAAATGTAAAATTTTTATGCTCTAGGAGAGTAAATTGTTTGCTTGATGTGTAATTAGCAGAGATTAAAGAAGAAACTTACTTTGGTGGTCAACTCTGAGGACAAGCACTGCTGTTAGCCCAAGGGCCGTTAGCATTTAACTTTATAGCAGGGTTAAACTTGCAGAGAGTAAGAGGAGCAGACCCAATAGGGTGCATTTCTTAAGAGTGATCACAAAAAGAATTCAATAAGAAAAATTCATAGTTTGACCAGTACTAGTATTTCTAATTAGCCTTCTATATTTAAAAAAAAAAAAACTTGTTTAAAATAATAACTGGCTGAATAAACCATAAATTACGATATCAAATAAGTTTTTATAAAACCTCCGCTAACACACTCACAATGAGTTAATGATTAAATATATAAATAAATGTGCATTTAAACACTTTGCTAATCACTTTCTTTATAAATAATGAACATGAACACATTATTTATGAGCTCATTAATGAAAAAGAAACATGTATTTCCCTCGCCACATATTATGTACTAAGGATGAGTAATGCTTTACCAATGATGGATTAAGCATTTACTAATGCCTTATTATTGCTTAATGTCATTGTTGTGACGTGTTACTGGTTCACACATGTCTGAGTGGTACTGGCTCTATAAATGAGACCTGCGGGCTCTTGCAGTCATTGACAGTCTTAGATTAAACAATGACGTTTTACACTTTTCTTCTGCTGTGCGCTCTGGGCCTCACTGCAGTCCTTCAGGTGCCTGGCACCTTGGGGGTAAGTAAAGTCATATATCCTCTTTAAAGTTGTTTTCATTTGGTTATTTCTTCGTTTTTGAGCAATAATTTTTTTACCATTATTTTTTCTCTCATCTCTGAAAATCACATCTGAAGCAGGGTGAGTGTGGCAGTTATTCATACATAAATCTTGACTGATATGAACTATATTTAATCTCTCATTCAAGGTGTTAATTTGCTTTTAATGCTTTCATTTAGTGACCACTACGACTGAGAAGAATGAGATTGTGAACAAGCACAATACTCTGAGGGGGAATGTTCAGCCTACTGCGAGCAACATGTTGAAGATGGTAAAACTCAGAAGTTATAATGTTAATGCTTTGCACAACTAACATTATACTGTTGTGTCATGTTCAGCTTAATAATGAAAGCACACAGCACTTTTTTGTGTACACATTTGTTTTTATCTACATGTTCTGATTTAACGGGCCGTCTTGTCCTCTGCTCCCTGCAGAACTGGAACAATGAGTCTGAAGCCACTGCTCAGAGATGGGCTAACACCTGCTCCATGAAGCATAGTCCTGCCAGCGACAGAGTGATCAGCAGTAAGTTCCTCATTACTCCTCGCGCCTTACAAAAAAACACCACAAAAGCACAGAAAAAAAAGCACTTTTGTGTTTGTTTTTTACATGTTTAACTGTTTTGTTTTTTTACTTTTAAGTTTATAAAGTGATGTGGAAGTACATTTTAGATATATTTATGGCAGCGCGGTTTAATTAACTCAGTTGTATTTGTGTTTGCTTTTGTCCCGAAGGTAAGAAATGTCAGATTGAGAGTGGCACGGCAGTGCAATACGGAAAAACAGGGAAAGATGCATATAACAGCACATTATGAATCACTATCTTAACAGTTTGGTTTGTTAACATTTTGTAATTCTTTTCTGTTTGTTTCTCTAAGTTTTAGAAAGTGTTATTTTTCTGAACTGCCATCATCATCTTTCATTTATTGGGCAATATTTTGCAAAGATGCTTTTCTCAAGTCCTTTGATTTCACAAGATGATGATGATGATGATGATGATGAATTTTCTTTGATGAGTGATCTCGAACTGAGCATTCATTTGTTTTGGGATTTAAAAAGTCTCACCAACCTGATTAAACTATCTCACTCCTCCTCTTAGCCAGCGGCTGTGGGGAAAATCTGTACATGTCCAGCTTTCAGAACACCTGGAGCAACGCAATCCAGTCCTGGTATGACGAGGTGAAGGACTTCAGCTATGGCGTGGGATCTATCAATGGAGGAGTGGTGGGACACTACACACAGGTACAGTGATACATATACATGCACTTAACTAAAAGTGATTCTTAAGCCCAAACCCTGGCTTTAAAAACATTTGTATTTTGTCTCTCTGTGCAGGTTGTTTGGTACAGGTCTAATCAGATCGGCTGTGCTATGGCCTACTGTCCCAACTCTGCTTACAAGTACTTCTACGTCTGCCATTACTGCCCACCGTACGTATATAGCATCTTACCATAATGATGTGTTGTATAAAATGGCATATTTTAATCTTTTGAACGTCCTCTTTTGTCTGCAACCTGTATCAGTATTATTTGTACATTTTAGACCCTCATAAGCTAAGTCATTAGTGATTCTAATATACAATGATGAAATGATCACTAGGAGCAGTGATTGAATTGCAATTCCTTCAAGAAGAATATGTGGATTTTGTCATTCATTTAATGCACAGAAATTTGCATATAATTTGTCATTAAATTGTATTTCAGAGTTGCTTTGAGTTCTCATAGGATAACTGTGACATGTTTGGGATGACATCCAGCGTTAGTGTTTGCTGTGATTTTTAATATTTGATGGTCTGACCTACAATTACAGTGGAAACTACCAGTTAACCCAACCCTACAAGAAAGGACCCTCCTGCGGTGACTGTCCCAACGCCTGTGAAAACAACCTGTGCAGTAAGTAGAAATATCCTATAGGAATATAATAGTTGTAAACAAGGTGAGATATACATGTTTCTGTTTTGCAGACCTTTAGGGACATTTCAATGTAAGCCTTTGATAAAGTAATATATTGTGTAAAGATGAAGTTACATTGGTTCTGTGTGCACCACATACAATAAAGTTGCACGCAACAACAGTCAGCTTAAGGCACTTTATATTGTAGGTTAAAGACACTACAATAATACAGTGGGGATTATATGCATAAATTTTGTTACAGCACTTTCAGAATGGCATCCACTTTAATTAAATGTATTAACCAATGTTATCAATAAATGATCAGACAGAAGAGGGTTTTCAGGGATTAGTGTTAAATGTTCAGCTCTTATGCTTTTTATGTGAGAACAAGATCCAGAGTGTGATTAAAGTAATCTTTTACATTCTGAGAAAAGCAAATTGAGTCTAATATTGGAGTGAATGTAGTGTTGGAGCTGTCATTTTCGGGTATCTAAATGGATGTTAAAATCATCCACAACAATTATTTTATCTGAACTAAGCACCAAATTTAATGGATCATCTTATAGCTAAATTTATTTTAGCTGATAAACAAAGCTAACCTAAAACTGTTGTCTCCTCACCAACTTAATGCTTATTATGTTCTTTATGCTTTTCTCTCTCTCGCAGCCAACCCCTGTCCCTTCTCTGATAAGTACAGTAACTGTCCCCAGCTGAAGCAGCAGTGGGGCTGCAACAACCCAACTGTTGCCTCTTGGTGCCCCGCCTCCTGTAAATGCACCAATCAGATTATCTAAATGCCCCATGTCCAAATGTGTACTGATTGGTCAGCTTCAATAAAGATATGCATAACAAAAACCTGCGTTTGTGATGTGCATTCAGAATCAGAAATCAGAAAGGGTTTTATTGCCAAATGTTGAGCAGGTTTACAACATTAGGAAATTGCTGCGGTGCTTCAGTGCAAACATACTGTCATAAATTCCAGTTCTTCTTACCTATCTAACCACCATATGCTGTTAGTGAGTAAATGGTCTGTTTGACTGGGTCAGTAATTAGCAGAGATTAAAAAGGAAATTTACTTTGGCACACTATTTCTGAGGAAAAACACTGCCGGCAGGAGCAGATGCCCTTTGACTTTACGTGAGGTGTAAACTCACAGAGAGGAAGAGGAGCAGGGTGGATTTGGCAGAGGTTAGGAGGAAATACAAAAAAAAACCAACACAAACTTGAGCCAAGAAACATCCACAGTTTGAGACCGCATCTGATAGCAGTGATTAATTATGATATACACCACAAGTAGAATTTTAGATTTTTTTCTTTTATATTTAAGTGCCTTGATTTAAGTGGTTAGATTATAATTAGATTATTTTGTATTTATCAAATACAAAATAATGGGCCATTTGTCGCAGGATCTTTCAAGTATTTTTGACTTTCAAGTTTTGTTTTTGTGGTTTTAATTATTCTTTTTGATTCTTGAGTGTTCTTCTGAGTTCCTGGTTGCATTAGAGGTTATTGTTCCTTCCTCTTGTCCCAGTACTTCTGTATTAGGGTCATCCATGTGTCTGTTTCTCCCTGTTTAGTTATCTCTTCTCACGTCCCACTTTATTGTGATAGTTAGTCGTCCCTTGAGTCTTGCTCTTGGTCTTACTTCCCTTTTCTCATCCGCCATGATTTAGTTCAGCTGTGTCTTGCTTTCCCCTTTTGTCTCCACCTCCCTGCTTGCTCTTCTGTGTGGGTACAGATAAATAGTGCTGTCCTCCCATTAGTCGTTTGTCAGAGCTTTTGTTTGCATGCACTCAGTGTTTCCTGATTTCGTGTGGTCCTTTAACTTTGTACATAGTTTACTTTTTCCTTTCAAACTTTGTTTCACATTTCTCCCTTGCCCTTTATGTTATTTTCTCTGGACATTTTTTTAACAGCCAAAATAAACTCGTCACTTTTTGTTACAGCTCGCCTTTTTCCCCTTTTTCGCATTTTGGGTCTAAAACTCCATTACTGACAGACTGTGACAGTATTGTGCATTTACATATGACTTTAAAAGTTTTAAAGGTCGCCCAACTGATATAATCAATAAAATAGTACGCTAATGATGTAATAGCTCATACAGCTTACAATCTATCACACATTTTTCTTTGAGGAGTACAGAAAAAGGTCTCATTCACCACCAAATTAAAGTGTTTAAATTCAGGAGCATGGATAAAGACTGAGTACTAACCACAGCCATGTCAATTATCTTACTGGTATTAGCATAATGGCAAAAGGAAGACCTCATCCATATCATCCCAAAAGTACCACTTTGTCCATGATCAAGACCAGCAAAATAATAATCATCACCATCTAGCAGGTGGTAGGGCTGGAGTCTTTGTAAGAATTAAAGAGAGAGAATGATGTGAGAGCGGGCCGGGTTTCTTTCAATTCTAAGTTTCCATTTTAGCACATAACAAAAGATGCTGTCGGCCACTAAGCATCTTTAGAACCAAAACCTTCATGATATGCCACCAAAGCATTTCTTGATGTTATCCGATTGACACCGAGCATTATTTTATTGGCTTGTAGCTTCCATCTAGAATTATCATTGAAAAGAAGAGACTCGTCAAAAATATATCAACAGGGTGGGAATAGCAGATATAGGATTGTGAATGTTGAAAAGCATCCTTCAGGTTTTTCACTCATAAATACAGAATGTTATGCTGATCATGTTGGTGAACCGGATTTCTGGCCTGTCATTGCCAATCAAGACCCAGTGCCATGGTACTAGCTTTTGACCAGACCTAACCTAGCTTAAGACATAATTATGCTGTAATCCAACTTACGTATAGATGGCAGAAAGGAGCACACAAACACTCATTTTCTAAACATAATAATCCAAACTGGCATATTCAGGAGTAGCGCAAAACAACAGATATGACCTTGACCTCAAGCATAGTTTATTTAAAGACCATTTGGGTGATCATTGTGTGCAAGTTTTAATAAAAGTTGACCACTACTCTGGGAGAAGTGGGGATTCCTGTGAATTGTGGATGGATGGACAACAGATGACATCCTTCAGGCAAATGAGCTAAAATGTATTTTGAAAAAAGTGCTACTTTGGCTCTGATGCGTCTCTGTGTTTGTTGTGGCTGATCTAGTCTAAAGCAACAGAAGTCTATCTGGCTCTGAATTATGAAAGCATACACATGTTCATCATTAGCAAGATATAGGTATAGCTTAGTTTTAAATGACAACTTCCCCGCTGTATTGGCCCTGAAAATAGCATCACATCCAGAGAAGGCGGGATTAAATTGTCAATACAGACTTATCCCTCCATGACCAGTTGGATACCATCATTTTCTTTCAGATTGCATGCTTTTACTTTAACTGCTCATTTGAAAAAGAAATGCTCTTACTTTCCCACATGCAAGGCTGAGAGAGAGTGCTTCTCCTCAGGGGTCAACTCCACATGTCCCAGCTACACAGCAGGTTCCTGGTTCACATAAGGTTGTGTCTGTGTGAGGCAGGCTCATGCAGTCTACCAATGAGGAGCACAGATAGATCTACAGGCTCGTCTGGTTGGAATTCATCCCAACTGGATCCTTTTTTTCTTGCCTTGAGTTTCCACTTTTCACTAAGTGGCGGGTGTGTTTATTCCAGCTCATAAAATAGTCCAATCCAACTTACACATTAGATTTCCTATTGCTGCCTTGTCGCACGGACTGCCATTGTTTGGAAATTAGTTCCCTTTCCATGCAATAACAAACTTCTTTCATTGAAAATAAACAATTGGACTGCACTTTTATAACACTGAGCGTAAGCCAAAAAGTCCTCTCTGCTCACATCACAGCATATGGGATTCAAACCAAAAGCTGTAAGACAGATGAGTGAACTACCTGAAGTGAGCAAACGGGGGAGCTGCAAGGAGTTTCTATTCCCCCAGCAGAGGGGTGATAAGGGGATGAGTTTTTCCTCTGCCAGCGGGTGCAACGATAGCAGAGGTCTTCTGGTTTGGTCGGACTCGATAAGCCCTGTCTTGCCATCCTGTGGGGCTTATCAGCTGCAGCAGCGAGTCTCAACAGTTAGTCCCACAGCCAGAAAATGTTTACAGCTTTGGCGTCGGTTTGTCTTCCTGAAATGCAGATTGTGTAAAACAGAAATAATTACATGTTTGTTAAAGCATGTTTGTTGTTGAGTTTATTCATATCTATAATTAGCCATGGTGGATTTTGCTGCATAAGATAAATTCATTCTCTATAGTCATTTTATCTAAACTTGCATGGGCTGAGTTAAAATCAGACAGCTTATGTTAACACAGCTAAAATAGCTTGCTACATCTGCTCCAACAGACAGCTTTGCTGCATGTGTAGCAAACAAGAAAGGTTACATTTCCCTTGTTATTTCTTTTAATAAACCAGTGATGGGAGGGGAATAAGTTGACGGAAGCACAGAAGAGACATTTTAATAGGCAGGAAGTCACATACATCAGTCTGTCCAGAGACTGTCCAGCCCTTATCTCGCCACATCAAATACAGTCCCTTTGGATTAGAAACAGGATGCCTAAAAAAGAACCGAGTGCATCTGAACCTGACAAAAGATCTCGAGATTCAGTGCAACAAATTAGTATTGCATTCCTCCAACTTACTTGAAAACTAAGATTAAACAATACACACACAAAAAATTAATACTTTTCCCTCACAGACATGAAGCAATAATATTATTAAAATGAAAATGAAATATTTCAAATTAAAGGTTTATTCATTTCAATACTTAATCAGTGAGGAAAATATGCTTGCTATAAACTGAACGTTTGACCAAATTTAACATTTTTCTCTGTACTTGTGTAGCAAAGTGACTTGGAAAATTTACACAATATGATCATATTCTTTGAGTGCATGCAGAGAGAAAGTAACATCCAAAAGTTAAACGCTTTACTGCGTGTCTGTCATTACTGTCGAAACCATGAAGTGGTTATTGTTCATGTTCGTTATTCATGTTGTTTAAAAAGACAAAAATATATGAAATAAAAGGTTTTTTCCCCAGTATGTTCCTTGAGTTTATCTCAAATTGGGCTGAAAATTAAACATCTCCAGTAAATGAAAAGTTTTCATTTCAAGAATTGGACATTTAAAGTGTACTTTAGTATTATGCATCACTTGTAGCAGTATTAGTAGCATTAAAAATGCAGTTAATGCATTAACTGAACTTCTGGGACAGGCATCTTTGTCTGAGCTGTGATGTCAGGTGCTTGGCTGAAGGAACTCAGTGCAGACATTAATCCAAGTCACTCCTCTTCATTCACGTAGCATCACTATTTTATGTACTTATATTCACATCTCTTACTTGAAGAGCAGCTTTGTGTTGAGAACTATTTTCCCTCCATGACCTTTTCAGCAAAGGCCTCAAACGCACAGCACACCACGCTCAAGTATCACCTGTAGGAAGTGAGCTCCCGCTACACGAACAGTTAGGAAGGCCTCTAATGAAAGCAGAGCACTCGAATTGTGCCACATCCTTCCTTTCACTGAGTGCCATTAGATGCGGAACAACAAAGCTTGCTGGCAAGCTCCTGACCTTGCTCTTAAGCTTTCAACACAGAAAACAAGAGGAGATCTGAAGCAAAGCTCTCTGAGAACAGCTCTCCTCTGTCACATGCCAGATCACTGACAGATCACTTTTATCAATAAATACTTGAAAGAAGGAGCGCTATAGCATGGTAAACACTGTATTTCTAATCTGTATGCAGTAGTGGGTGCTGCACTAACTTCCCTTTATTGTCCTGAAAGGTTCAAAAACTGTTGTTTTATGATGAGTGCAAAAACTGAGC